CCCCATTATTCGATACCTTAGAGTAGTACAGAGTTTCCTCTTTGTTTTGTTTGTTTATTTGTTTGTTCGTTGTTGTTTTTGGTTCTTGTCCTGATTTGGTGCTTGACGTACAGAAATGTATCAACATGGCTGTAAATGTTATGCATCATGAAAGGAAACACAGTTGTTTGGAGTTTGATCACTAGTATAGAATTAACTTTTTCAAAATATCTGGTATTCCCCTTGCCTCTCCTCTGTTCCTTTTTGATATTTTTGCTTCACTTTGTAATATCTTACCGCCCCCTCCCCCTTCCCAAACTCCCTTTTCTCACATCCCCTCATATCGTCCAGTGCCCCCCCAAAAAAACAACAAAAACAAACAAACAACAACAACAACAACAACAACAACAACAACAACAACAACAGCAACAAACAAACAAAAATAAAAAATAACCAAACCCCAAAACACATCAAAGAAGCGAACAAAACCGTTCCCCTCCTTTATCTGTACTTATTTGGGTTATCATGTACCACTGGTTGATCACTTACTTAGAACAAGCCATGTAGCGCTACCCCCCCCCCCTCCCTCCCCCCAAAAACCAACCCCGTTGAGTCCCAAAGAAGGGACACAATTGCTCCGCTGGTACTCCTCAACTCCTCGTGCATTTTCCATTAATTTTTACTTTGTCAACTTGTCTTCTGTTGAACCCTCTTTCGTGCTACTTCGTCGACTGAGAGTAATGCTTCACAAAACATAAACACCTTGAAAAAAATACCGCTTTTAAAATTCCCTTTGTTGATCTCCATTGCTCAGCGCATGATGTTTTTAGCTAGTGTTATCGTGTCCTACTTAATTAAGGACATGCTCCACTAACCAGCGACTTAAATGGGTGTCACCAACATCACTTTGAAGAGGCCACTAGACACATACTTGAAAACAAGTGTTGCTTCTTGTCGAATTGATCCTTAATACTTTAGAGACGCTCTTTGTTCTATCATGCTCCTAGATCTAGAAACTGCCATAGACACAACTCTTTGCTCTCTATAAAGACTTTGCTGAGAAGCTTGCGCATCATGGGCACCCAAAATGAAGGGAAAAACAATGTATGAAGCATTCCCCCCCCCCCTTTTTTTTGTTCTTCATTTTGGCTACAAATTGACTCGAAAAGTGCACTCAATTGGAAACCGGAATTGTGCCAGAGTGCACGGTCTAGGATATTATAATACTCGTCTATGCCGTGCTCTCAATGTTCAGCACTGTTTCGCAAAACGCAGTACAAGTTTAACTGGCAGTCTGAGGACAAGGGAGTTTAATGAAAGAATTTATCCTTTAATTATTGAACAGGGTGTGAAACCCATATCACAACATATTAAAATATATCAATGTATTCGTTGAAGAAAAACACACACATGCCTTCTTTTATCTTCAAACGCATGCATTTATCAACCTATTTATAGTTTATTTTGTATTTAAGCGTAATACCTTCATTGCACAATGTCAGTCATTCCGACGGCATAAATCTTAGCCTGTCGTCAGGACGCCGGACTTATAGAGGAAAGAAAACTGGAAGAAGGAGAAAATTAACTTGGGCCCCCACTAGTATTTGACCCTCAAATAGTCACAGCCTCTCTGGTCACAGCTCAACACGCTGCCCCACTATCCTAAATCGTTTGCTAGTGGCAGGGACGCTTTTATAATTTGATTTTCTGTTCGGCATTATCTTGATGGAGTCTGGTGGTGTAACAGGAGATCAATAATTAGAAGAATCTTTGATGTCGAATATTTACGAAATGCAAGCCTTCTGCTTTGAACAATTGTCACCACATTAATCCACATCGACACTCTTTCATGTTCTCTATATCTAATACCACAACAAACTTTTTGCGGGTAACAATAATCCTCGAAAGATGAACGCAGTTGCTCCTGGGATATTGAGTCGAATTGTGACAATGTAACTCTTACTAAGGGAAATCTTGCTTGGATGGTTGCCACATTCATGCAAACCGAGCTGAAGTACGGAGATGTTTACTTAAAAAATACACATCAATTAACAAATATGTATCTTTAGTTTTAGCAGTAAAGGTTTTATGTACTTGCCGCACAACTAGGTCATATAAGTGCCGAAGATTAGAGGATTTCAAGAGAGTAACAAACACAAACAAAGAAGGATAGAGAAGGACAGTATATGTTTGATAGGAAAGCAGGAGCAAACCACACCTGAGCCCCCGCCAACCATCTACTCACGTATCTTTACCGTTCAGACGTAATCACAGTCCACGGGAGTATCATCACTGCACCCACTGACCCCGAGGCGGCTGCCATGTTCAATCTGATGGGTCATCTCTCCGGACTTCTGACTGTGTTGGACCACGATCTGGCCACAATAAGCAAAAGTTTGACCCACAAACTTCGCGCGCACATGCCAATAGTTCTGGACGTCATCTCCTTTGTCCGGAGAACCAAGTAAGTGACTTCCTATAGGTGTGTTTGAGGGCGGGGGGAGGGGGGTATTACATTATTCAGAAAATTCAGACATTTTCAGGAGCACGTTTATAGGTAAGTAGGTGTTTTATTCAATCACATGACAAAAAACATACAAATATGACATTTCACATTAGAGATTTCCTTGAAAACAGTATACATTATAAAGGACAAAATATCAATAACATGTTAAAAAATTATAATAACATGTTGATGCTCCATTTGGAGGGAAAAAATCCCGAGAAATCCAAGCTGCCTTCCTTCTCGCTAGCTTAACGTGCATGTCGCCCCATCAGTTGCCTTAAGAATAATATCACATCATCGCTGCCTTAGAATTACAAAGTTCTGTCTGACAATTTAAACCGTTTTGAGTTACTGAGACCATGAGATCAGAAACTAAATGTTCTGTATGCTCTATCAATATCGGAATTCGTTATCAAGAATTACTCCAGAAAACTTTTGATATGCTGTGAAACTAAAAACATTAATTGATTTCAAAATTTTCAAAACTAGGTACTGAGCAGATACGACTTTGTAATTCTAATCTAAGGTAGCGTTACAATGAAGTCTTCATTACAGTTCCCAGACGGGCCAGACGGAGTTTGTGACGTATATATGTACGGCCACCGGCGACCTTCCTGCGCGCATGCGCGGAGACCTGGTCGATCTGTACGTGTCCACTTTGTACAACGTTCTGAAGGCCAGAGAGCCGGAACTCCGACAGAGCTGGAACTTAAGACTTCCCCTAGACGAGGCTGTCAATATCTCCATGGCAGGTGAGTGGCCGGCTATAATCAACAGGAGACAACGTTAACTCTGTAAGGACGAAGAGAACACATATTTTGTCCGATCAATAGCAGACCAAAGGCAACTTTGCGACACATTTGAGCCTTAATACACAAGTCAGAAACATGAATGTGCATCTTTCAGTTTGTTGGTGCCTGTTATTTAAAGTTTCAGACAGAGAAAATACAAATTTATAATATTATGTATGAATAGCGAACGTATGCTTTATTTTTAAAAGTACTTACAAGCAAGCACTGTTGAATGAAAATAATACTCGTCCTCAATGAGGTAAATGTGTTGAGACACTGGACATTGCCGTGTGGCTGACGTCACTTTAGAAATAAGTTTATACTGATCACCTCAACAATTTTAATAAAATGCACAACGCCACATTTTGCAAAAGAAAAAAGAAGAAGAAGAAGAAGAAGAAGAAGAAGAAGAAGAAGAAGAAGAAGAAGAAGAAGAAGAAGAAGAAGAAGAAGAAGA